GCAGTTACTTAAAAGGCAGAACAAGTCACCGTCTTTGGGGGCCTTCAGGATTTGTTCAAGGAGAGCTAAACACACAAACACAGGGGTAATTTAATTTGCTAGTGCTATGCCCTCAGTTGCAGAACGAGAGTGGTCATGGTATTCCTGCCATGCTGTCAATCAAAAAGCTGAATGACCTCGATTCAAACTGGCCATGGGCTATAGTAATATTGAGCTTGAAAAGAAAAAAAAATAATAAACAAATTTCAAACAGCAAAGTTTGGAAAATGGGGATACAGCAAAAAAACAAAAGTTGTCCACATGGACCTCCCTCCGCTCCACAGCTAGCTCCCTCTAAGGTGTATTTTTTTTGGGGGGGGGGGGCGTTTAACCTCTATTCTCTCCCCTTATCTAGTATTCTGTTCTGATGTGTAGCGTGCCCCCACTTCCTGTTACTACAGCTCGATACTCCACGGCAAAGCATGACTCATACTTAAATCATACAGAAACTCATCAAAATCCCAAATTTCACGGCACACAGGAACCCAGTCTTTCAAGAGGGCAGCATTCTTAAGATATTCCAGATGACAAAACACCGAACCAGTTCATCCGAAATCATGTCGCCCTCAATAAATGTAAGCTCATTGTCTGGCAACTTGAATCTCAGTACTCATCATGAAAATGCAGTCTGTGGGGCGTGCCGTGTAAAAATACGCTCTTTTAAAAAGTTAAGACGGGACTCTAAATAAAACCTTCCAGGCGAGCGCACATGTTCCCTCCTGTGCATCTGTGTATACAATGCACGTTTTTAAACGACTACAAAAATACACAACAGAATGTTAGCAGCAGCGGGGTTTGGGGGGGATGTTTATTGTTGTCCTTGTGGCTCTCTATGTTTTCCTAGAGTAATTTGTGATATTCTTCACAACCAAGGAAAACAGAAAAAGTAACCTTGAGAAGACGTCTTGTGACTAGTGTGGTTCCGGCCTCCTCTAAGTCACCCTGCGAAAGCCAAGAGGGGCTTTGCCAACTACTCCATGAAAAATGTCTGCCTGCAACATACAAGGCTATGTGATGCTCGTGAGGGCCTTTGCGACATTCATGAATGCAGGTGACTAAAGGCAGGCTGAGGAAGGGGCCACCAGGGCAGAATCAAGACAGACTGAGAGCACACTGCTTTTTATGCATGAGGAGGAGCCCGGGGTCTGGGAAGCAAAGAGGACTATGTCATTGCCTAGGCATGCCAAGGACCCAAACTATCTATTAGTAAGGGGCAACTCACCTTTAAAACAAGACTACTCCAGGAAATCACATCTGTGGGTAATTCTTTAATTAAGTGCCTTGGAGCATGTCAGTAGGTTATGTTTTGTGACACCTGACAAAGCTATTTATATAAATATAGTTTGGTATCATAGAACATACAAAGTCCCATATCTGATCACTGGGAAGGAATATTTTAATTTATACCCACTGCCAGGAAGTCCTTTAAAACCAATTTCAGGAAAAGATTTAAGTTCTAAAAAGTTATGACAAACATAAATTTTACTGGATGACCTCAGGGTTGCATTTACTGTATAGTAGCAGTTTTTGAATTAATTGGTTTCTTACAGAAGAAGACAAAGGGGGAGGTTTTAAGTAAATGCTTAGGTATCGTCAAAAAAAGTCCTCTCCCCCATCCAAATACAGCTCTTCCCATCTTAAAGGCATCAGCTCTAGCCGTGTGAAGACTCAGTGCTGAGGGAAGTTCAAAAATTCAACTCATGAAAATTATATCATCACAATGTCAGTATCTGTCATTCTATCATTCTATGGCACAGAAAAGAAGACAGACGGGGTGGGTTGGAGGGGAATATCAAAAGAGAAAAAAAAGACAGAGACAGACATAAAGAGTATGTTGTTAAAGGTACCACTGAAGATTTTAATGCCCATTTGTTCAATGAATGCCTGAGAGAGTTTATCATCTTTATCATTAAGGTGAAAGAACTGTTCGGTGTAAGCACCAGAGACTTGCAGATTATTGAGGGGGAGCTGTCCTAGACATTGGTGGGTGAGTACCAGCATCCCTGGTTTCTGTCAGGTGGACTTAGCATCTCTGCAGATGTTCATTGTAGGAAGCAAAATTATTTCTGATTGAAAACCACAGAAGCAGATCTCGGGCATCTTCAACAAGTTGGACTTTGACACCCTCCTTCTGATCAGAATGGTGGTTCTCACCCTGTGAGTCGAGACCTTTGGGGGGAGTCACATAGAATCCTGCACATCACATATTACACTCTGATTCATAACAGTAGCAAAAATTACGGTTATGAGGTAGCAACAAAAATAATGTTATGGGGTTCGTCACGACATGAAGAACTATATTAAAGGGTTGCACTGTTACGTTGAGAAGCACTGGGTTGGAAGGAAGTGTTCCCAGCCTTACGAACCTCTCCCACAGGATGATGCTAGCGCCTGGAGGGTTTCCCCATCAGCTGGAGTTCTGTGGTCTGACTGGACACTCAACACCAGCCCTTTACTGACCACCCATTTAGCACTAGGAAAGGTTCGAGGGATATCTTGGAATTCCGGCCCACCGACTCACCGAGGGTGGGCTGGCTGGGTTGTTTTTAGGACAGATTTGCCCCAGGAGAAGTCTTGACAACATCTGGAAAGTCCTCAAGAGAGGCCACATGTCCTGGTCAAGAAAGAAGCCCTGTGCTTCCAGTGGGGTTCTCTAAAATTCTTTGCCCTTTTTAGTAACTCTACACATTTCTAGTCAACATTGAAAAGCAGAGAGAGAGAGAGAGGCAGAGAGAGGCAGAGAGAGAAAGAGAGACAGAGAGAGACAGAGACAGAGAGACAGAGAGAGACAGAGAGAAAGAGAGAAAGAGAGAAAGACAGAGAGAGCAGGAGAGCGCCAAAAGGCCTGCTCTATATCTGGCATTGAAAGGCCATCTCTTCATGCTCTGGGGGTTTTGCAAGCAGTCATTACTGGAAGCTCTTAGTACACTTATGGACAGTCTCCTTAACTGTCTGACCTACATACCCTCCTAACACAATCTGTAATTTTATAATTCTCATAAATTCAAACCCATAACTGACCTTTTCCCAAATAAATGTGTGCCACAGTAAGGGAGAGAAGGAAAGATACCAGAGAATATTTTGTTGGGCAATAGGGTTCAAAAATCGATTAAGGTTCACTAATAGATGCCTGGAACATACTAGGTTTCCCAGCCTGACGCGACCTACCCCCCCCCAATACCCCAACTCCTAAAAAGCACAGATGGGAGAGGATGGTCATGTGTGTTTGTGTAAGACATTGGACAACAGAGAACAAAACAGAACACACAAACACAACTCTCTCTCTCTCTCTCTCTCTCTCTCTCTCTCTCTCTCTCTCTCTCACACACACACACACACACACACACACACACACTAGAAGAAAGCATGTTTGCTTGAGACCCAAAATGGCCAAAAGGACTTCCAAGTTTTTTGAGACTGTGCCCTAGAAAGACTGGCGGGGTGGAGAAGGCACCTCTAAGTCAATAAAGGCTGTGACTCGCCTAGCTCTGCAGGCTGACAGTGGCTTGCACAAAACCCCTCCTGTGCGGAGTAGCGGAAACTCCCAATGAGATTAGTCGGTGTGTGTGTGTGTGTGTGTGTGTGTGTGTGTGTGTGTGTGTGTAGACATTACTTAGCAATGACTAAAGGCCTCTCTCTTCCTGCGGCAGCCAGTGGAAAATTCAAGGAACATTTTTCCCCCTGCAGCAGCAGAATCCCTTTAACCGTCTCCCCAGCCAACTCCAAAAACAACTCGGCCTCCCCCCCAATACACACCCCCCAACTGCCCCCACCTCGGGCAGAGCACTGCCGGCGAGGGGCTTTCAAAACGGGGAGGACTGGAGGGGGGCCGGCAGGGAAGGGGCGGGGGACCCTTGAACACTACAAAGGAAACTGTAAAAGGCACAAATACATAAACCTGAGAAGCTGCAAGCCACAGTTTCTTTGTGAGCTCCTCAGTGAGTCATTTTCAAGATGCTGTCTGCAGCCAGTTTCAAAGCGGAAGCGCACGGCAATTAGTCTTGCCGTTTCCAGACAAGCCAGAAACTCTCCCGACACTCTTTTTTTTTCCTTCTAAAAAGCCCCTTTTGCAGTTTCTGAAATAGCCTTTCTTGCTTCCACCCCCACCCGCCGCGTAACTGCTGCTTATCCCAGGAATGATTCGGTTCAGAAAACGTAACAAAACAGAGACCATTTAATTTTGTTCTAGCTCCCCCTCCCATTTTAATCCCCCCTCCTAAAAAAAAAAAAAAAAGTTCCTGTAACATTACAGGCCAGTAGGCAGTTGGAAGTTAAAGAGCTGAGAGTTTCCAGATCATCCCTTGCCCGGCCCATCTCCCAAATCCGAATCTGGACTAGCGGACTCGGCCGGCTTTTAAATGTCCACTTGTCTGGGCGTGCGCCTGGGGCGGTGACCTGAGCGGGGGTCACCTGCCCAGCGAGACTAGACGTAGCCCCGGGCCCCACATTTCCATGTCGCAAGTCCTCTCTCTCTCCACCCCTGTGCCCTTCCCTGGATCTGAACACTCGCGCCTCGGTGCCCATCCTGAAGGGATCCGGACGGCAACCTCGGCTGGAGGTCAGCGACGACCCAGCCTCCAGCCACGCAGTCGGCTCCGGCCACCATCCCCAGTCCCAGAGCCCCGGAGGCTCGCTGCAAGGATGCGGGAGCTTGCACTCCGGGTGTCCACCTTCTCCTGGCTTCGCAGAACAGCCCCCAGGCCCGAACACGAGCTCCCGGGGTGGCGCCGGTGGCAGTGGCCGCGCGCAGCATCCTCCCCCCGCGGGGACGCACCCCCATCCTCCCCCAACACAGTCCACAACCCACCCCACAGCGCCCACACCCCCACCCCCCACCAGCCAAAGAAAAGAAAGAAGGGAAAAGGGGGAAAAAAAGAAAAAGAGAAAAGAAAAGAAAAAACTAGCCCGAAGAAAAAACTTTGCAAGCGCCAGAGCAACAGGCAAACAGTCCTGCAACCTACCCAGATGTGGGGGAGCGTTTGGGAGTCTTCTTGGGGAGATTTCTAGGAGGACCCGGGCGAAAGCCCCCGACTTTCCATGCTGACAGGCGTCTGCAGACGGTCTGTTGCTCTTGTAATGAGATCCTGATTTTCCCCCCTCTTTTTTTTTCTTTCTCTCGCTCCTTTTTTTTTTCAAGCCCCCCCCCCTCTGGTGTGTGTGAGAGCAGGAAGTTGGAGCAGTCAGGCCGAGCCTGCTCACTTCCTTTACTGCATTATTCCCCAGGCGGTGTGCAGTCTGTGTAAACAGGCTTTTCCGCCCCGCGCCGTGCGCCCGGGCCGCGGCTGTGCGCCGGGGCTGCCCGCCCAGACCCGCGCATACCCCCGGCGCCGGGCCCCGCGCCCGCCTGCACGCCCCGCGCGCCCCCGAGCAGTGCCCGCCCCGCTTCCTGCTCGGCCACCCCAGGGGAGGAGCCTGGGGACCCGCCGGCCAGGCCGCCGCCCCTCCACTTGGCGGGGGCTCCCTCGGCTCCTGAGCCCTCCGGTCCCTAAGTTGGGCATAACCCTGGTTGGGTTTGTGCCTTGCTAATGCTGCCCCGAAAGGGAGGTCGCTGGGCGAGCTGTTCTCTACCCATAGGCATAGAAGAAGAGTTTGGGGACAGGAGGGATGGCGAGTGGGGTTCAGGACTTGGATGCTCTGGGTACCGGGTTGCTTTTATTGCAGACTGGAGGAGATATAGGGTGTCCACAAAGAGAAATGGAGTCTTCCTAGAGATGGGGTCCGGTAGTTACTGCCGGGGACATATTTAACAGCAGCACTAATAGTAATAATCTGAAGGCAGTTTTAGAATTGGGATCGTCTTTGGGGAAAACTTTCTTAAGAGCCACAAACTAGGAGCCGAGGTCTTAGAAAAGAGATGAGAGAAGTTGTTTTAACAGGCACTATGTCATGCCTACTTAGGAGTTCCAGGTGGCTTGAGACTGGGGAAGGGGCACCCTGTGGTCTCAAGACTGGACTCCCTGACCCTGAGGACACTGGCCAGGATCTGATTGGACAGTTGGCCAGTGCTCAGAGGATGCAGGAGGGAATGGGTCTCTTATTAACAAACCCCCTACACAGTTCTTCCAGCCCCAGTCTTCCAGAACCTTCCAGTCCCATGCCTTCACTCTTTGGGGCTTTCAGACCAGTGGTTCTCAATCCTGAATGTTCAACGTGAGGGTACACGGACTCGTTAATACCCTGGTTTCCCTTACGCCCTCCCCTCAATGTGTCTGGTGTGATTGTAAGCTCCTGCTAACAGAATCACCTTGAGGGTAAGTGGTGCTTTGTAAACTAGCCACAGCATAGTCATCCCAGACCAACGCCAAGTCTGCAGGTCAGCAGGACCACGTTCTGACATTGCCTCGACCGGACCCCTTAGCATTTGCTATCTCACTGAACGAGTACTCGTTTACTAGTATCTTGTTACTATTAAAGGGTCTAGATTGGATTCAGGGATGTTAATACCCACTCCCTACACACACCTGCAGGTACCTGTCAGAACACTTTGTTAAACAAGGGCAGCATTTTTGCTTAATCACTGATGTGTATAACCTGCTGGTTATACACTGAGGACCAGGCTCGCCAGTGCTCTGAGAAGACACAATGGTGGTGGGGGTAGAGGAAAAGAGATCAAGGTAAGATGTGAAACAGAAGGAGGAATTATGGGAAAGGGGGTTGTCTATCAAACCCTGATTTTCCACTTTGGAGACTATCATTTAAAATCCCTAGTTGGCTTCTCCTGTCACTCAGCAAAACTCAGACTGTGTCCCTATATGATCCAGCTGTCCCTGTGAACGGAATGCAGAATGAAAGTTTATCATCCAACTCGGAAGCTTGCACAGTTAGGAGCACATGTTGCTTTTTATGTTAGAAAGTATCCACTTAGGAGAAGCCAATCTGAAGGGGCTACATGCTGTATACTCCCACCTCTTCCAGAAAAGGTGGAACTACTGGGGCAGTGAGAAAGTTCTGGTCACCAGGGGTTTGGGGACGGGGAGGCTGAGTAGTCAGAACAAGATTGGGGGGGGGTAGCCATGAACTGCTCCATGTGAAACTATACTGGTGGATACCTGTCATCACAAATTATCAGGAGTGAGCCGTCAAGTGAACCGTGGGGTTCAGGGGAGGTTGTGTCAAGAAAGGTTCATCATTTGTAAGTAGTACACCACTCTCTTGGGGAAGATTTGGGGGTGGGGGTTGCCTATACAGCCACTCAGAAAGCAAGCTCTAGAAATTGGATGCTCAGGTCTTGTTAGAGATCCAGCTTGGGAGTAAAGTACTTACTTCGATTGTACAAAGCCATGAGTTCAATCTCCAGCAGTAAGAAAGAAAAAAGAGAAGGTAGATAAGAAAGCATGGTTAGAGTGGGAGGAGAAATCAACCTAAAACATTTTAGAACAGAACAGAATGAAGAGTAGACACTTGAGCATTGGGCATTCTGGAAAGAAACCACAAAGTGGCTAGCCATCGTTACTTTGAAGTTTTAGGGGTGCCTCGGGTGTTGGTGTTTGGGAATGGACAGTCAAATGGAACGATGGAAAGGCAGCCCACTCTGGGGAAAGTGTTCATTGAAGGACCCTTCCGGTCTCACTGAGCCTGAACAAGCAATAGTTTCTACCGATTTTTTTTTCTTTTAGAACAGTAAAAGCCAAGTTTACATTAAAAGAGCATGTATTATGGACTAGGGTTTAAAAATGTTCGCAAATTCCATTTAAAAGCACATTTCCAGGAGTTTCACAGACTGGTGGGAGGCCTTTCAGGAGCTGGCCTTCCCATTCCTTATGGTTAGAGGACTTGCTGGGGGTGCTGAAAGCGTGGGCTTGCACCGTCTCGGGAGTCTCCTGCCTGTTTCTGTGTAGCGAGGGTGAAGAAGACTCTCTTTTTCCTTTGTAATTATAGTTTGAAAAAAAAAAAAAAGAATCACCAAATCTGCCAGGCTTAAGTGGAAGAATTCACCTCTTTTTAATTGTAGCTTTGAAAACACAGCAGTAAGATGTACCTGTTTTAAATGTCTAGTTCAGTCGTGTTAAGTGTGCTTGCTTTGCTAGGAAGCTAATCTAATCCCCACAATGCATTCATCTTGTAAAACTGATATTCTATAACCATTAACCAATCTTCACCCCCATCCCTACCCTGCCCCAAGACTTTGGTAAGTCTGATTCTACTTCTTGCTTCTATGATTGTGATGAGAACTGCTTCACGTAAGCAGAGTCATATCCCCGACTGGCTTGCTTCACTTAGCATACTGTCCTTCAGGCTAAGGCTGAGTACTTGCCCAGAAATTATGTACAGGAGCCCACCATTGATGGACATTTGAGTTGTCTCTGTCTCTGGGCTACTGGTAATAATAAGAATTTATTTCTTTTATTTATGTTTGTGATACTAGGAATCAAGTCTAAAGTTTTGTGCATATTAGATAAGCATTTGCTTCTAGGTATGGGGCTTTATTCTAAGCCCAAGAATTTATATTTTTAAATGGTTGAAAACCAAAACTTTAAAGAGTAACATTTTGTAACATGTGCACATTACATAAAATTCTATTTCAGCATCCATAAAGTTTTACTGGGAGATAGACAGGCGTATTCATTTGTCATTGTCTAGCATTGTGTTTGTTCTACATTGGAATGGATTTAGAAGCTGTGACAGAGACCATATGGTCTGTACAATCTAAAGTATTTACTTTTTCTGGTTCTTTACAGGAAACATTTGTCTACCACTGGTTTAGCCAAATGAAATTATGAATCCTGTTTTGTTGTTGTTTTGGGTGGCTATGTTGACATGCTTTATGTCTCATGTTTGCTTGGGTGTGGGTCAGTTTTGAGACAGGGTTTCTCTGTGTAGCCCCTGGCTTTCCTGAGCTATAAACCGGGCTGGCCTCGAACTCAGAGATCCACCTGCCTCTGTCTTTTGAGTGCTAGGATTAAAGGTGTGTACCACCACACCCAGCTGCTTTTTGATTTTTGAGCTTCTGGAAACACAGTCCAAGTTCACCTCAGATTTCTGATTCTTCTGCCTCTGTGCTGAGATTATGAATACGCACCAGCATGCTGACAATTGCTTGCCTTTTAAACTCTCTCCCTTGTTCTACAGAAAGCCTTTGCCTTGTCAGATAAAAATCCAAGCATCTTTAACAACCTTCATGTCCAAGAATTTCATCTTCAGTGTAAACCAAAAACTATGCTGCATTTGATTCCTCTTATTGGGGGTTCTGAATAGGTGAAAAATAACTGGCTCTCCCAATCACAGCCCTGAGACATCCCTTCAAGAGTCTACTCAAAGTCCCTCAGCAAAGCTGAGCCTCCTAACTGGCCCTTAATTCTGGTTTCACATCCAAGCTGTATGCTCAGGGCCTCGTCCCAGGGAGGCTGATGTCAAACCCAGGAATTTCTTTCTTCGAAGTTCCACCCAGATGACCTTTGTTCTTGCAAACACTTGTAAATGTCTTGCTCAACCTTTACTCATCTCAAATCAAGCCTCCTCCAGGCAGCCTTCCAGCATCAACCAGATGAAATGCCTGGACCATTTCTTCTTACCCACACACTATTGTGTTTGGATCTGGCGGGGACCGATTGAACAATTTGTTTCTACAGATCACATTCTTTAATTGAAAACTTCGTCTCTGCCCCGTGGGTTAGATTCTTGGCGAGGGAAGTGTGACCTTTTTTGCTCTTGTAGATAGTGTCCATCACATCTGGGGAGTTGTTAGCCTCCTGTTCCCACTCTGCTGCCAGTTGTGATGTGTGGGGTAGCTGTGTTCGATCGTCCACTGGCTCATGGGGTATGTGTGTTGTAATACTCAGTCACTCACACTCAGGTTCACTGTAATGATCCCAACTTGACAATGTGTCTCCTCCTGCTGTGCTCATCCAAAGCATCTTACCTGCATCAAAACAAATGTAGAACCTGACGGAGAGTACACAGCTGCAATGCCCGAACCCAGGGGCCAAATACAGATATCTTTTTGACACTTTGTGGGTTCTTTTTTTTCCTTCCACTCTTTCAACCCCCTAACACTAGATAAGAAAGAAAAAAAGGATAAAGAGGAAAGGAAAGAGATCCCTGAATAAGGTCACAGGTCAGAAAGAGAGAGACGTTATCATTAGACTACTTCCTGATGATTAGGGGTGTCTGGATCCTTAGGGAAAGTTTGATCTTTACCGTCAGGATATCTAATCTCGTTGTTGTTTCTTCTTTGTGCACGGACTACTTTACAAACCTCAATCAACAGCAACCAATCATGACACCCAGTACCCTAGCATTTATATACCCTCTGAAAAGTCCCCAGAATTCCCAACGTCACACAATCG